CGATGAGCAAATGGGAATTGTTTTGTACAGTTTATTTTCGTACCCTGGTATGTACATATTTTCAAATTCAAATATGTTATTGTAGCGAATTGTTGGAAGAATGAGTACATACATACATATGTATATTAGGCATGTATGTATGTATGTACATATGCTTGTAGTATTTAAACCTAACAGGTAGCCAACTCTACTATAATACTGACCAACAAACTTTTACGGCGGAGCTATTGAGATTAACAATCTGGCCTTTAAATTATTCAATTGGCTCTACATAGTTGTCGAGATATTTGGGATTGCAAGTGTCTAAAATTCCCTTTTTTTAATTTTTAGAACTTTTGTAGTAGAATTACAATGCAATGTGGAACCTTTTGAAGAGCTTACAAAGAAATCTTAAATGTCGTCCTTTTAACCCAAAAAAAAAATAAGAAAGTAGGATCCGTAAAAGTTAGTTACAAATACCATTTTTTTAACAAAAGAAAATTTAATCAAAAATGTGACGATTGCAATCTGAATATCCTCCGTTTTTAAATCGTATCCAAAAAAGTTTTTTTTTAAAGTTGTCTTATTGTAGGTGGTGCTAATACGACTTACAAAACAAAACCATATAAATCCAAGTTTCGAATATTGTGGAACATTAAAAAAAAAAAAAAAAAAAACTTTAATAAAAATTTCGAGCTTTTTCAATTTTACCATAATAAAGTGCATGTTTAAAGCTGGGACTTACGGTTGATTTTGGACAATTTCGTTTGTTGACCATGTAAGTCATTTTCTTTCCTTTGAAGTGTGTTCAACGATTTTTTTTTTTTTTTGTATAGAAGAAAATTACTGACATCGCCAATGACTGGCTTTGCCAAAAATCAACGGTAAGTCCCAGCTAAGTTAAAACTGTACTTTGGTATACTAACATTTAATGGGCTACAAAACAGCATACTCAAAATATTTCTAAACAACCGAAATGAAAAGCTCGACATTTTTACGAAAGTTTGTTGATTTTTATTTTTTATTTTTAATGTTGCATAAAGATTGATACTTGGATTTATATGATTTTTTTTTTTAAATAGTATTTATATTTCTATTGACAAATAACCGAAATTAAACAATATTAAGATAAATGGTCAAATCGTGTCAATATGTGAGTGCCGTAAAATTATGATCAGTACTATAGAACAAAATTTAATGAACTTGATAAAAAGAAATAAAATTGTTGTTTTGGAAAACAAAGTTCAAGGAATCAAATTTTATAAAAAAAAATAAAAAATTTGAAACATCGTGGATTTCTACAAGTAACGTACCTTTTTTTTGGCAGTCTGTAGGGTGTTTTTGGCTAGTGTCTATGTGTTTTTGGTGGATCTTTTGTTGTAATAGAAATGGAAGAAATTGTAATCCAAGTGGAAGAAATTGTGTTAGATAACAGGAAATGCAAAAATAGGTGATCCCAGTTGTGGGCATTTTTTGACAATCAGCTGATAGTGTTTTTGCTTAGCAGGCTGTAGGATGATTTCAAATCTATATTTTTTTTTTTTTGTAGGAATTAGGTTGTTATGCCGGATTTCCATTGTGCATTAAATGACAAAACTTTAATGACAGAATTGGGCATTAAAAAATTTCCGTGTCATTGCATTAATACAAATAATCATTAAGTTCATTTCCACATGGAACTTTTCAAATGGCACAAATATTTAGACATTTCAGTGCCTAGTGGACATTTGGCAATACAACTTACGACGTTTTTTTGAATTCAGTTAGTAATTTATTAATATTAAATGCCTCTTTATAATTTTTAACATTTTTATTTTTATTTACTACCGTATTTACTAGCCTACAGCTTATTAGTACATACTTATTTTACTATAGTTAGTTTGTATTTTATTTCTTACTCAGTTTTATCACATACATTTTTATTTTTATTTACTTTTTTTTTGCATCTTGCCGACATTAGGCTTTTTTCTATTCTTTAACTTTGATTGGGTGTACACAATTTGTTTTGAGATATACACTTTCACTATATATAGTATGTACAGATATTCATATACATATATATGCATACATTTACTACTGCAGTCTCTTGCATCAATTTACAGTTTGAAACAATGATCAACTTTTCATTCAAATACTCAAGTAATAAGTTTACAAAACTAGTATGGACAGAACACAAAAACAAATGTTAGCGATATTTCAGGGATTAACATCCACGAAGTGCTCTAAGGATTAAGAATCAATTATCGAATGTATGTTGTATGTAAATTAGCTTATATTCAATTCGAACTACTTCAAGCTCCAAATCAGGGAAGGTTGTTTTCTTGTTGATCTTCAAATGCGTCACTTTATTTGGGGCGCGTCTACTGCTGTCAATGCACTTGAATCGAATTTCATAGAGTCGAAAATAGAAAGTGAGCGAAAATACAAGTATCGAGATGAGAGTATTGTTTATAGGCGAGTCATTCAATTGGAAATTTCCCAACCTTCGCCCAATTAAATTCAGTAAATTTATCTCACCTAGGACAAGCTTTAACATGAGCGACTATTTAAAACTTCTAGTCAAAGAGAAGAGAGCTATGGTTATCTTCAAATCGTTGCTGGTATATTTTCTATATATATGCATATGTATTTTCTTGATATCTTCAGAACTTTTCATTGAATTTCTTTTGCTTGAAGGACCTTCCATTTACGTTTAGCAGAGGTCACATCGAATCCAGAAATAGTGCATTCTGAATTTTATTGACCCAGTCTGAACCTCTTTTATCAGCCTGAACCTCTTAACTGAATCAAATTCTGCTGTTTAATAACGAGAGTTTCCTGTTCATCAATATTCCACAAGTTAGCTCCCCTCCAAGAATTTGAAGGGCTCTATATCACAAATGGCTTGCTTGATATTCGCCTTAAAGGCCTGCATCGTTAATGAATTGTTGCCATAACATCGGTCCGGTCCTTCACTGCAT